TGATGGCGAGCCGGCGGCAGCTTTGGATTAAGATGCAGGGCCAAGGAAATTCAGTTTCGGCATCATCTTCGATTTGCAATTCGCTGCGCAATTGCATTTGCGGTTAACCAATTTTCAATCAATTCTAACTGTGCAGCGCAATCAGCTGAATCCCTCGCCAAGTGGCCAAGTGGCCAAGTGGCCATGTGGAGTCGTTGCCCAGGCACACGCCAATGTCAAAAGGTTCTCACAGAGCGTGGTAAGCCGATACTTTTTTTTCAAGTTTTTTTTTCTTTCTTTTTGGGGCGCCAGGGCCAAGTGCCGTTAGCCAAGTGTCTGGAATTTGTTAAACGTGTGTGGTCCCTTCCCTGCTTTGAGCCCAGCCTGGGAGTGAGCTCTGGAAGCGCCAAAAGTCAAGCCTTTGTTTATGCGGCACGTGGCCAACTTTCGTATCGGACTATGATTGCAATTGCGACATCGACAACTTGCAACGGGCAATGGGCAACTGGGAACTGGCAACGTGCAACTGGCAACTGGCAACTGAAGTGTGACTAAACTGCGCCTACGGCTACATGAGCAGCCCATCCAGGTTTACCCCTGGTTGCCAAATGGACCGCAAGCTGTGCGAGGTGCCAGCGGCACATTCGACTTGTGCCCAAATCCAGCCAGGGCATTGCACACGCTAATGGCCAGAACAAAAGGCAACAATGCCCAGAAAGCAAACAGTTGCTCACGGGATCCAATTACCCAGTGCCACAGCCGAACTTGAAGTCGCCTCCGACTCCGACTCTGACTGCGACTCTGACTCTGACTACGTGTCCGACACCCCAGCTATGACGACTCGAGAGTCGAGTTGAGCCAATTTTCAATTGTGTGCCATGGCCAAAAAGGCAACAGCAGGCGATGCGTCGGCATTGAAGGCGAACGCTACAGCGACTCGCCTGGCACGCAGTCTCTTTGGCACGCCATGTCCGCCATGCCGCACGGGGGATGAACAACGAGGGTGGCATCAAAAGTTCGCACAAAATGTGAGCGTGCAGCTAACTAGCTTATTTATGAATATACATAATTTGCTTTGTGTATTAGTTGACAAGCGCAGCAAACGATTTCGAGCCTTCAGGCTCTGTTCGTGAACCTAGCTTGCCTCATCCTTGAACCCAGCTTGGTTTCTCAAATTTGTTTCAGTTTTTAAAAGCACATCTCAAATTGTTCTTCTTTCAATTATCCAATTCATACAATTTAAGGTTCGGTTCAGAGCAGAGAAAAAATTGGCATTTCGGCTTCAAACCCATTCAAAACATTGCAGCGCATTTGACGTACTTTAAAAACATCCATTTTTAAGTGTAAATACCTTCAGGCTTATGCTTAATAGTTTTCATGCTTTGATATTGATCCCTTTTGGAAACTGGGTTAGCAGAATCAGACTATGTAAGTTTTTAGACAATATGTATTTGAGTCTATCTAAAAAAAAATACTAAATACACTTTGAAACAGTTTTGTATGCCCTTCTTAACCACTTTTAGGTGAAAATTTTTCTTTGTCTATTCTTCATTGTTAACTTAGCCTCCATGTTAATTTTTGAACCGCATTGCAAACATTTGTAAACTGTATATTAGTAAAAGAATACTTCCTGTATTCGTTTGTATGAATTCCTTGTGCTATTTATTGTAAGCTTTAATGGAATTTGAGTCGAAGAATGTAATGTTTTTGATTGTCATGCCATGCGCAACTTCAATGACAGCCCTCGTGGGCTGTCGAGCTCGACATGTTCCCAATTTGAATACAAGCATCGTCCAGAACTCGTCCTTGGCTCGTGCTGCTGTTTTGTCCTGCCGGTAAGTACACAGGCGCTGTATGTTAAATGTAATTTTTGGCCTTAATTCCTTTTGTGTTTGGCCGTTCGCTTGCTCGTTTGCTAATTTGACAGTTGTCAGCCGCTTGCGACGTCAGTTGGCCAATCCACATGCCACAGCGACAGCCACATCCATACACACACACATTTTGACATCCATTTCCATTTCTATTTCCATTTCCATTTCCATTCATCAAAATTGGCTTTGGGTGCGAGAGGCTGCTGGCTCATAATAATTTGTCATCAATTAGCCGAGGGTGTTGATGTGCGCGGTAAACCAAGTGGAAGGGAGCAGCAGTCGGGGGGGCAGGCAGCAGGAGCGACAGCCCAGGAGCACCCCGTCGTCGTGTAGCATACGCTATGTGACCAGACCAACCCGCCTGCCGTCAGCACTTGCAAAGAAGGATGTGGATATGCCTGCGCTGGATGTGGATGTGGATGTGGAAGAGGCTTTTGATTAGGATGAGGATGAGAATGAGCATGAGGATGAGGACTCTAATGCCTATTTTGGTTCAAGTGCCGCCTGTCATTGTTGTCCTTGCTCCTGCTGTTGCAAATTACTTTTGATTATTATTTTGATGTACATTTCATTTTCAATGTCGAGCCTGTCGGGTGCCTGGCGGCAGGGTGGGGGAAGGAAGGGGGCACAAGCTGAAACTTTGTAAGCGTCTCGAATTACCAACGAATTGAGGCAATTGTTGCATACACTTGAATCCTTATAGAGATTTGATTACATGTCCTTGATAAAATTGATTTTGTTTTTTAAAATGTTTCGTTTTTTTCTCTGTAGAGAGAGAGAGAGACAGAGAGAGAGAGAGAGAGAGAGAGATAGATAGAGAGGGGGAGAAAGTACAGTAAAGAAAGCCCAAAAAATGCATGACCTACAAGGGAGCACATACCCAAGACGCTTTTTTTACGTGTTTTTTTTAATATAAGAATAAATATAAATATAAGAAGAATATAGAAGATGGCTCCTTTAACCCTACAAAAATATATATATATGCCCTCGCCCTTCATCTTCTCAGTATATAAATATGGTACGCTTATATACTTTACGGGGTATCTTTTAGTCGAGATTTTGTCATGTCAAATCAATGCACAGTCAAAATATTAAACATATTAATAATCAAAATGTGACTTGAAACGAAAACAAAAACAAAAGACATTGCCAACAAGGAGATCACAATATAAATTAAATAAAAGCAGCACAAAAGATAATCGACAAGAAATATATATTCAAATTCCATAAAAAATGCATGAAACAAAAGAGAAACCCATAAAAATTAAAATGGAAGAACTCAGCGACACGAAGATTAAATACTCTTAGCCATCATATTTTAAACATTTTCAAAATCTGTCCTAAGGTCAAATTTTTTAAATGTTATAAAGCGCTTCGATAAAAATGAATTTAAGAGCAAGGCTGCAAACCGGACGGATCAAACCTGGAACTTTGAAACTTCTATCAGCTTAGCTAGATGAAGAAGTGCTTAAACTAGAGTTGATCTAATATTATGTAAATATAATAATTCTCAGAATTAAACCAAAACCTTAATTAATAGAGGTGGAAAACAGGACAAAGAACCAAATCATATTTATGGGTACTTCATGATATAGTATATTAACCATGAAAGCGTTATGAATATCTGATTGCAAAACTTAGGACATCCCATTTGCGATGGGAGTAATTCCCACTATCATGGGCTATACATATTTGATTATCTTTATGCACATTGCTGAGGCCAAACAAGCGATGCTTTATGGCTGGAGCGATAAAAGGAATCAGAAATACACGAGCATCTATACAAATAAGATCGAAATTGAAAAATAAATAATTTAGCACTTATCTTTAAGCAAAATGTTAACTTAATTAGATAATTACTTAAACGTCAGTTTAAACAAAACAACAAATGCGTCCACTGACAAAGGCTGTCATCAAATTTGTTGAGTGCCACGCCACAACTTGAACTCGAATCCGAGGCATTCACACTCGCTCTGAGTGTATTCGTGAGTGGCTTTTAGTGAATGAAACGTGAAACAAAAACAATTTCAGAATGAGCCATGCATTTATAAATATTTCTATGTGTGTGCGTGTATGTGTGTGCGTTAAATGAAATAAAATCGAATTAAATCGAAATCGAATCCGAGTCGAAAACAAAACGTGGAGGGCACAACATTTAATGAACGCACAAACTTTTATATGTTGAAAATTGACTTAAATTATTTATTAGCGAATAAAATTAAAAACTTAACGCTATAAAAGTGTTAAAACCACTTAGCAAGCCATTTGCCAGACTCGGACACAGCAACACAGACCCAGATGGGCGACTGTCAGCGGCAGAGGCAGTGGCAGGGGCAGGGGCAGGGGCAGAGGCTGCGTCGGAGGCGGGGGCAGGGGCAGGGGCAGAGAGGAAGAGGCCTCGCGCCATTCAAGTGCAAAATCAAGCTTTTTGTTCGAGATCAGAAATGGGAAATAGAATCGAACTGAACCAAAGTCGGATACATGGCATTTTTTTATATTTTAATAAATTAAAATTGAATTTCAAATTCACCTGTTGCTGCTCTTTTGGCCACTTCGACCGCTTTTGGGCCTTAACAAATATCGAACGTTTTGGACATCGCTTTGATTTTGTCATTTTTTTTCTTTCTTTTCTATCTGGTATTGTTTATATAAACATAGGCGACGATTAACATAAAAAAGCAGTTAACAATTTGTACAACATTTATCTAGTTTTCCATTTTTTAGACCCCTCTCTCGCTCAGAGCAGGCGCAGCTATCTCGCTCGCCCCTCTCTCTCTATCTCTCTCTCTCTCTCTCACCCTCTCTCTGTCCCTCTTCCCCTGTCGTGCTGGCTCCAATTTTTAAAAGTGTGCCTACAATATTAATTCGTATTGCCAGCGATTTTAAGTGGCCACCAAATCAAGTCTGACACATAGAAAAATACTCAGATAAATGGACAGACAGACGAATATGGAAATAATGTTGCGTAGGATACAAATGACATTAATATTTGGCATGCAACATTTAAGCTTGACGTATATGTCAAAAATGTCTGTAGCAGTAGTATACTTGAATTAAACTATTTACATAAACGAATGTTTCACATACCAGAAATGTTCTTCAGTAGATTTCATTTGTTTAAGTTATCATAGGTGTTGATAAATTATTTACCTGAGCATAAGCAAGGTTTGTTTCCAAATAGATTCCAAGTATGCTTCAAAAGGTGCTTTGTTTTCGCACAATTGGGCTGAAAAGAAATTGAATAATGCTGTTTAACGAGACGTATTGGTATAAAGCATCAAAGCATTGCCAAATGTATTGCTAAAATCATCCTATTTAAACAAACATTATTTCTTAAAATATAGAAGAATATAAAAGTATAGTATATTTATATAGTATAGTATAATAAAATAAATATATAATAATAAATCCAAAGCTGGTAACTAAGTTTAACTAAATACTAATCTAAATCTGCAGCAGTTATCATTCTCTTCTTAATTTAAAAATAATTTTTAATATTTTAAATAATTATTTATATGAATAAGCAAAATGAGCTAAGTATAATGGACATGCGAAACTTTAAATAATTTAATTTATATTTAAGAAAATGTCACAAACCCAAGTGAAACTAATCGACGAAAATTAGTTTTCTATAGTTGTACTTGTACTTTATGGACTCAGAGAATTCGCTTCAATAGAAGCTGTAAATGTACATTGAGTTAATTCGTGCAAATAGCTGAAATATAAATAAAATAGCGTCAACGTGAAGGCTCTCGATGGTCTGTTTGTTTCCTGCTTTTGTATGTCCGCATTCCGGGTTTGATTCCAGGCGTTTTACAGCCTATAAATCAAATAGTTGCCGCACAGATTGATGCATTAGCCGGCCCAGAAATTCTCTGTCTGTCTGAATGTCGGTCCGTCTGGCTGTCTGTGTGGACTGGAGCTGGAGCTGGAGCTGGAGCTATGGAACTGGAGGCTGGCGCGTTGACAACGCGCAACTTTATGACGCCCCAACTTTGGGCGCGATAAGCCCACGCGCCAACGTCCCAATGTCCCGAGGTCCCGAGGTCCGACGACGTGCAACGTGCGTCAAGCCCTGGCCATGAGATGGCACATCAATTAGCACACCTACCTTCAGCCGAAGAGGCAGCCCGTGGATGGAAACTGAATTGGGACTGGGGCTGGGACTGAAGACAGAGACTGGAACTGGTCATTCATTAAAGCGTTTGCTGGTCTCGGTGCGACTATCAGCTGGATTGTGATGAATATATTTTAGCGGAGACAACAACCAGCAACAATAATGGCGGAGCGGAGGCGGAGGCGGGGGCGGGTTCGGACTCGGATTCGGGTTCGGGCTCGGGTTGGACTAACAGGAACAAGAGCAGAGCTTATCGCACAAGATGTATTCAAAGTGCATAATGTAAAAGTTGTACGCGAGTGCTCCAGATACTCCACAAGATGCCAACAAGCCGCTCGAGTGTAGAGTATTGGCTGGACATCCAACTAGTTGTTGTAGTTAGAGTTGTTGTTGTTGTTGCTGTTGTTGTTGTTGTTGCTGCCGATGTTATCTCAAGTGCTGCGATGCTTATCGTCGAGTTGTAAACGTGAGCTAAAAATACTAACTCCAGCTACAATTTCTCTCGGCTCTTTAGGCCCGCCATAAAAGTTGCATCAATTAGCCGGGCTCAAAGCCGAAGTTCATTTTTCTTTCTTTTATTTTAGGAGGTTGTTTTTTTCTGTTTGTTTTTTTATTTTTGGTATTTTACGTTTGGGGTTTGGGCCGCTTTTTTGTTGTTGCTGCCACTAAACTATAACGATAACGAGAAACAATGTTAAACTTAAACATCAACACCTTTTAAGAGCCAGCACCAGGCAGCAGGCACAGCGTCGAGAATCGAGAGACCTAAGATCTGAGACGTGGCCAGACTGAATGTCGACTGCGTCTTCTCCTTGCTGACCATACTCATACTCATTCTCATGCTCATACTCATTCCCATTCCCATTCCCATTCTCATTTTCCCCATTCCCAATACACTGTGTCTCAAACCCATTCCCTGTGATATATTAAAATGGATCCGGGGCTGGGGTTCGGGCTTGGCTTCGGCTCGGCGCTGGGTCCAGGGCTCGTTTGCGTTCTCGTTTTTTATGGCACAGTTTAGGAGATAACAAATTTTTGTTACAAGCAAATTAAAAGGTTTTTCTTGACGTTTAATGCAATGGCTTTTAAACTGGCAACGGGCCGGCCCCATCCTCCATGCAGCGCATCCTCAGAGAGTCGCCCCGCGAGGCCGGCTAAAAGAATTCACTTTTATCGATTGTTTTTGCTTGCATCGTTTAGTCGATAATTTTGGTAATAAATTTTAAAATAAACAGCGCACGGTTTTGGGCTCGTTTCAGGCGACGGCTTCAATTCGAGTTCAGTTCGGCTCTGCTCTGCTCTGCTCTGCTCTAGAACCCTTTAAGATCAGTCGGCCGGCCCGGTGCGCGTGGCATTAATGCGGCCCCGGCTCTGGCTCTGGCTGTGGCTGTGGCTGTGGCTGTGGCACTGCCAATTGCCTGGCCTGGATGGATTGTTGGAGACGCCGCCTTAAATTCCTCGGCCGCATATAAATTCAGAACATCAGATTAAGAAAGTGTTAATGTCGCAGCAATTTCCTTTTATCTCAACATAATTGAGCGATAGAATTTGAATTTAGCTAAAAGCCAAACATAAATTTAACACCCAAAACACAAAACACACTTCAACAAAGGGCCCCGAAGCCGAAGCCGCAGTCGCAGTTGGAGTCAAAGTCAAAGTCGGAGTCGGAGTCGGAGTCACAGCCAAAACTGAATCCATTCGCCTCTTCTCCGGCTGCTGGCTTTAGGCATCTTCATGTGATGCTCTGCTCCCTCTCTCCCTCTCTCTCTCTTTTCCGCGCGCCTCAAAACATTCGTGCGGGCTGTTCAATAGACCCGTTCGCCCCATGCCCCATGCCCCATGCCCCATGCCCCATTTTGTGGCCCAAAAAGTGTTCATTGTCACAACACAGGCCAAGTGATTTCTGGGGATCGCCGTCTCATAAATTTGTCACATTGCCCATATACCGTGTGGAGTCTTTTTGGCTGTGCGGCTCGCTTTGAGCAGCGCCTGCGCACATTTTAAATCAAAATTATTGAGTTTCCCCTTTTTCGGTGCATGAGCATGCCAACTAATTGGTCACATTTGTGACACACGCATTTTCTTACAGTTTACACATAATATTTCCATATTATTCCACTCAGAAACTACTTAAAATATGTTTAAATATTTGCTGAAATGCGCCTTGTTTTCTTTTTTAATTAAATATTGATAGACTTCAATTTATATGAACTAAGAAAAATTAAAATTGGAATATAATAGTATATAACGGAATTGGAATATAATACTAATAATAACGATTTTTATTTGCATCTTTATCATTATTTCTATACAAATATTTTTAAATGTTGAATATTATTAATAATTGTCGAAATACTGTTTTATTTCGCTTATATATATTATATTAATATACTTATTTTCTTTAGGTTTATTTTTATTTTTTTAAAATTTTTTTTTTTTATATTATAGGCTTTGTTTTGACTTTTCCAGTCCAATTCATATCTTGTAACCATTGAACATATAGCATCGGGTGACATCTCCAACCATATATAATAGCCTAATCGGTCTAGACACGATCATCGGCTCGGTTGACTTTTTGTATTTACAACGATCGGACAATTAAAAAAGTTATTTCTCAATCATATTTATACATACAAATAGATTTGATAGAAATGAGAACTGTAGGTACAGGATATATATTCGATGGGCAACCTTGGCTCAGACATTCCTATTCATATTTATATTCCTTTATATTAAATTAATAGTATTTAATATTATTTAAAATTATTTTATGTCTTCCTCTTTTTTAATTTTCCCTATATCTGTATTTAAGTATATTTATTTTTGGTTTTTAAAAAAAGAAACTAAATCGGTTAAAAAAGAGAAGCTGTATGATCTTTGGCCTAAAGAGTATTTCAGCTGGGGTGCTATTGAAATTTTGTGGCTTTAAAGCATAAATAATGTACATTGTTTAGGAAGATGATATATGGCAATGTTTAGTTTACGATCTGTCTGCCTGTAATTTGAGCATCCTAGCTGCATTCTCTCTGAGTGTGTGTGCGTATGTGTGTCAAGTGAAAGTCATAGTTCGAAGCATGAAAAATTTACACTGAGAAAAACACTAAAAAAAAACATTTTAAATAACGAATTTAAAAGGGAAATGTTTTAAGATCGGCAATCTGTAAACTCACTTTGATTCCTAGATGCTGTTCCACCCAATATTTTGAGGTTCGTGTTTCAACAACATAGTCAGAGTCTTGTATTATTTAAAAACATATACTATAATAAATAACACTTCAGGTTACTATAACGTATACTTATTAATTGATATTCACTCAAGTTTTTTATCTAACAAGAAATTTTTGGAATATGATGCAAGGCTTGTTATACGATAGTTTAAGGGCCAACATCTGGCTCGCAATGAGTGTAACTCAGTTTTACTCGATTTCTGTTTAAAGTGTATGGCATAATAATCCATATATGTAAGCGCGTAAGCTGCGTCATCTCGTAACCCTTTGGCGAGCTGAGAGCGGAAGTGTCTAACACGCACACGACGCCTCTCGGGGTCTGCAGCTCTTGAGGTCTACGCTGGCTGGCTGGCTGGGCTCAAACTCTCAAACTCTCATCTATGGGCGACGCTTAATGATTAATGAATGAAATCAATTAAGTTTCATTAATGAACAATTTTCGGTAGCTTGGGCACGAAAAAGAGTTTTGAAGACAAGCAGCTGAGGCTCATGATGCCTCGCTGCCCTTGCCCTTGCCGTTGCCTTTGCCCTGCGCCTGCCCTCTGGCTACGGCACTGGCTTTAGCAATGCCCTCCATCCCGTCGTCTCACTTCAAGTGTCAATAATTTGGATTTCGATTTTCCATCCGTCGTTCTTTCATTTTGGCTACTGTGCTGCAGCAGCAGCAGCAGCAGCCCGTCTGTGCGGCGCATTGCCCGGGGCCACACACTTTTTGGACTGTTTGAACAGTTGAATGAACTTCACGGCTGGCTCTCTACTCGCCAGTCAAACTCTTTTCGACTCTCTGCCCTGGCTAATATGCAAAATCATCGCCTTTTAAAGCGAAAGCTAAACAACAATAGATCGCTAAACAATATTTATATTGAAATATATTAAAATGCT